GCGAAGCCCCGGGGCCCCCAGGCCGGGGCTCGACAACGCTGGTGAGCGGGAAGGAGGAGTGGTACGAGTGTGCGGTCCATAGTGCGGGAGAGACGGTGGCAGCTGTCCGTTAGGTCGTTCTATTGGTACTACACCTATTGCGTGGATAACCCAGTGCCATACGGGATCAAGGCCTGTAGAATTCGCGCAAGGATCTTTAGGGAATCGGCCCGGGACCGTGAGGGTGGACGAGACTACGGATACCAAAGAGTCTTCGGGGTACCACAGATAATGTTTTAAATGAATGGTGTTCCATGATAGAGGACAGGGACGCTTCTTAGAGTCCTCCTTAGAGGGCCATGAGACCCTTAGACTAATCCCTAGCAACGGGGAAGTCCCCGATTCGGAGAGGGTAGAAGGGGGAAGGTCCACGGTCAGTGGGGAGTTCGTGTGGGTAGAGTCCAAAGAGGTCGAAGGTCGAGGACTTGGGAGGAGTCTCGAAGTAACTGCGGTTATCTTCTTGGCCCCGGAGGCTTGGGCAAAGATTATAGTACCCCTAGTTCTAGGACAAGGGGGTGGGCTGGGCAGGTTGTTGAGGGATGCAAGAGAAGCAAGAGGAGAATGGATAAGTAGGGTTCGAGAGCGATTTACGTTTGTGGCTATAGAGAAGGAGAGGTTCGCAGGGGAGGGAGAGCTTCCTAGAGCGCACTATCCGTTGACCGTGAGGGTGCCATCCTTCTTGTTCGCAGGAGCAAACGAGGGAAAGATAGTGAGGCTTTTAGAGAGGGGCAGGTGTTTGGGACTACCCTTCGGGGCCCTGTGGACGCTATACACCCATTGCATCGATCAGGGTGTCCCGCCACGTAGGAAGCTTTTGGGGAATTTTTAGGAGATTGGGTTCTCTAGAAAAACCTTTCACCCTCTCTCCTGAAAGTTATCGCTGGTGGTTCTTTAAAACGTCGTTAGTAGATGGTGAGGTTCACACTCAGCGAGAACGGGGTGGTGGAGTCGATAGAGGCCGGTGACACCGAGAAAGTTCTGGTTCTGGGAGACCCAAGAGTGGCGCCCTACTGGATGAGCGTTGAAAAGGGGGAGGTCATCCGAAGAGGTGCATACATGTGGGTCAGAGCTCGCCGGCTCACCTGGAAGGAAGGGGTGCAGAGAGGAGGGCCGCCTGACCTCGGCCGATTCTTAGAGATTCGGGCTACGGTCTTCCTCCGTGCATTTTGAATACCGAGAGTCCGCGAGGCTAGTGGAAAACAACCTAGTGTTAGCCGACTACGAGGAAGGGACTTTTGAGTCGTGGACACTAGTGTCCTTCGCCGAGCCAGGTGAGGTCCCTGGTGTGTCATGAATCCTCCACGCGAACTTCCCCAAATTCTTGACAGGCTTATTGTTGAGAGACCCGGAGGAGTGGGTAGAGGAAGTACTCAGAGCGGCTCGGGAGTCCGGGGTGCGAACTAGGGGTTTGTACTAGCTCTACACGCGCTGCGTAGACGCAGGGGTTCCCCTACGAGAGGAGTTGTCGGCTATATTCGAAAGGCTTAGAGAATTTGAAGGGATTCGGGCACACGTGGCTGACGTCTTGTACGCCCGCCTATTCGGGGAAGAGCAATTAGCCAACCGAAGGGGTTTTGAGGGTCGATGATAAGGAGGGTCCCAGGGTCTCTCTAGGCTTCGATAGCACCCGTAGAAGATAGCGGGGAAGTTGTCCAAGTCACCCTACCTAGAGCCAGGTTGGGAGGGCAGGCAAGAACCCTCTTAAGGGAAGAAGGGGGGATCCGACGTGGGAAGGCGTTCGTACGATTTGCGGTAAGTAGTGAGGGAGGAATAGTGATCGGCGAGGCCCAAATATTCCTCTCAAAGGAGGGGTATATAGAGATAGCACGCAGCCTACGAACGCAGAGAGACCTCCTCTGGGACTCACGGGCTGTGAGGGACCAGCTAGAGGAACTCATAAGGGGTGTGAGGCCTCACAAAGAGGGGCCAGTCGAGTACCGAGTGACCTACGGAGGGTGGGAGGAGATCCCACAATTCACCTCCAGTGAGCCAGTCGGGGTCCCTCGTTTCATCTTCGAACGAATCTACCCCTCCAAGGACGTCACAAAGACGATAGGAAGGAGGGTGTCGATTCTAGGCTAGTCCCGGTTTACGGGGTCGGACCTACACACCTTGCTATCGTGGTGTTTTCGGGATCCCTATAGAGACGATTGGTCAACTCTAGAGGACCTAGGTACGCCTTTGAGGGATGGGGCCGACACGCGAGGGAGTCTAAGATATCGTGGAGGTACTTGGGGAAGCTCTGCGAAGGGGAGTTAGAAGGGTTGGACCCCTCGGCTCTCATTCGAGTCGCGATTGCCTGTCGCCGACGGAAGCTAGGGGATGAGCGAGCCTGAACTTGGCGAGCTTGTAGGATTGGAGAGAGTGAAAGAAGAAGTCGTCCGGATCCTCACCCTATGTTGGGAGGAAGAGAGAAGGGCTAGGCCTAGGTCCTTGGCTAGGATCAAGATGCTGGAAACGACTACGATCGCTATCCTCGACGAGTTAACGATAGATCTTCTCGCGCAGTAAGAGGTTATGAGAGCTTCGTTCGTCTCTGATAGGATTCGTTGGGAAATAGAGACCTGCAAGGAGGGTAGCGAAGTAAGGGTCGAGGGGAGTGCGGAACTTAACCCGGAGCTGGGAGAGGGTCGAGTGATCCATGCCAAAAAGGAATTTATAGTGGAAGTCCGACGGCTGGCCTTGTGGAAAAGGAGGAGCTGGACCACAATAGCTAGCTTTTCGGTCCGCATTAGAGGCATTAGTAGGGAGAGATTCCAGAGGACTTGGAGGGAGCCGCTGCTGGAAGTGGAGAGAAGGTTCGAAGAGGACGCCAGATATCTAGGCACCCCGCTAGCTTCTAGGATACACCTTGTGAAGACCCGATTCTGGGATAGGACGGGAGAATACGAAGGGGATTTGTGCCAATCGCTACGCGAAGGGGGGGAGATCGGGCGAACTAGGTGTGAGGACTCGTTGACAGAGGCTGCCGCAAGGTTGGCCGGCGTGAGGTAAGGCTTCCGATGATTAGGTACAACAGGGGGAACCTTGTTGGTACCATAGAGAGGGCTTGGAAATCATGAGGGAGGTATGGAGTGACTCTCCCGAGGGATAGAGGGGAAGGAGAAGTGTCTACCGAGTTCTTCGAAATCTACGGGCAGGAGACGGTGGTCAGGTTCTGAGTAGCATCCGAAGGGGGCAGCCGCACTAAGAAGGCAGAGATCTTCTTGTCCCCGGACGACCGACTAGTCTTCGCAACTGAATTAGCAGAGGGAAAGGATCCTCTAGGCATCGCGCGAAGAGCCCTAAACCGATTAAAGAGGTTGAGAGGGAGCAGTGTCGGGGGTCACGTGATTGATAGGGTAGAATACCGAGGGAGATTAGAAGTTCCAAGGGCGGCTCACGAGAGAACTTGGGAGATCCCGACCTGAGCCTACGGATTACTCTACGCTGACGACGCGACTGTAAGGAGGGTCAGAACTAGGGAACAAGTGATTGAGAAATTCCCGTTAGGCGAAGGAGGGGGGCACGAGTTGTTCACTCGGTGTTGGGAATCGCGGGAAGACACTGACTTCGAGTGGTGGGCACTCGTGGGGGAAGTCATCAAACCCTTATTTTAAGGAGAACCCGGAGAGGTGGATAGGGCATTGATCCAAAGGTGCTCTCAGGAAGGGATAAGGGAAATCTCCGACTTAGAAATAGCCAACCTAGCCTTGACCGCCTGTGAAGAAAAACGAGTTAGAGACTCTTGGTGGACTGTGACTGGCGAGGAGTTGGGGGATGATAGTTTTAGCAAGGAATCGAGTGAGGAAAAGGAGGGCTCGAAAGAGGGAGACGACTCGGAAAATGGCTCAGACAATAGTGAGGAAGTCGACTAGGGATTACCGATAGGGTGCATGGAGAATGAAGTGGAGGCTGGTCTCTCTCGTCCACCGGAAACCGGTGAAAGAAGGGGGGCAATAAAGAGCCCTGAGTTGGGAGCTAGGCTAAGTAGGGTAGTGGAAGAAATGACTGAGGGGACAAAAATGATGGATAGGGCCGAGAGGGGCTCGGAAACGGCTTCAGGGGAAAGACAGGCCCCGGAGGGGCAAAGAGCTAGCACGGAAGTAAGGGTGCACAGGGACATGGGGCTGTGGCAGCCGATAAACGAAGGGATCGCCGAAGCCTTAAGGGGCATCCCAGTAGAGTCCCGGTGGGCGGATTTAGTGGACGCGGAAGCGAGGATAGGAGTTGCCCCGGAATTCCCCGGGGATAGGTCAGGATATCGACCGCCTAGGGGAGAGGAAGAAGAGGGCCCGAATAGATGGGACTTGAGAGAGGGGAGGCCGACGGAGGCTGGCGGCAGGCCAGGAAGATGGGTCGAAAGGAACCCGGAGGTCGTTCCCGGTGAAAGACAAGCTTTGGCAGGGCAAAGAGCTAGCGCGGAGATGCGGATACCGGTGAGAGAGGGGGCGGTCGAAGCCTCGAGGGGCCTTCCTATAGAATCATGGTGGGCGGATCTACCGGACGCAAGGATGGGGGAGGCGCTAGAATTTCCGAGAGATAGGGTAGGGTTCAAGCCACCCAGGAGGGAAGAGGAAGGGGGCCGAATAGAAGGGACCTTAGGGATGAGAGGTCGCCTGAAGCTGGCGGTAGGGCACGGAGATGGGCCGAGAGGGAATCAGATGTTGCCTGGGCGATCGGGGAAGTAACGGGGAGAAGTCAAGGGATGGATGCCTGGAGAGGGTTTAGGGGACAGGACCATGCTCGATGGGAGACGGAGTGGCCGCATGAGAGGAGCCGCTACGGTGAAGATCCTTGGGGACCCTCGAGACCCCGGCCACGGATAGAGGAGCCAAAGCCCTCTTGGTACAAGCCTTACGATCCGGTGATTGATGGGCCCATGGAGGGACCATATTTCCGTCGGTACGACGACCGACGAGTCCCCTATTACGACGTCAACCTGGGCCTGGAGGCACCTTTCTTCGACGGACGTGATGTGACGGGGTTCGTAAAAAAATGGGAGAGTTATGCTTACCGGAAAAGATTCTCCGAAAGGGAGTGGATTGACTATTTCATCCAACACACTGACCTTGAGTTGGACCCCGCGATTCGGGCTGCCTACCCCGCGGCTATGTAACACCCGCGGCGGCGGACAGGCGCGGCCAAGTCCGTGGCCGCGGCCAGTCCGCGAAGCCCGCGGACGTGTCCGCGCGGATGCGCGGATTTGTGGACACGTGGCAGCCGCAGGGGAGGAGATTTCGCGAATCTAGCGGCGCACGTGGTAGCGCATCCCCTGCCCCACCCCCCCACACAAAAAAAAAAAAGGAAAAGATGAACTTTTGGTAGGGGGGCTATGGGCGAAATCCAAGGAAATTCGAAA